ATTAGAAACTTTTTGAAAACCGAATTATGTCTCTCCTCCGAGTATAAAATTAGAAGATGTAATTTTCTACGGAATAAGCAAAAGAATGAATATTTTATGCATGTTTTCCATGAAATATAATTGGATTTTTAGGGGCATCGGAAATCAATAAGAAAAATGTATGCTAAGTGAGTTGTCATTTTTCCAGAGTGTAGTTTTTGCATGCAGCCGGAAAAAGTTCGTTTGAAAGTCGGCATCCTGAGGTGACTGAAATATTATAGAATTATATTTCGAGCTGACTAGTTTCACAACCCTACTTAATTAATCTTTTCGAAACGAAAACGCATTTCGGAATATCGGTTGACGTTTTAGTAGTTAACCCACCTACTGTACATTGCAAAATGTTATGAGCCCCGTGCGACGTCTTCTTATTAACGCGGACAAATGTATGATTATCTCTGCAAGGAAAATGTACAGTGTGGTTGTTACATCCCAGTCGCAAGTGCACCTGGATGTCGGGTTCCAAATTATTCGAGAATGGACAATCCTTTCCAACTTCGATGATGGAATTTGTCTGAAATAAAATTTGAAGGAGACGTAATTCGCTACCAACTGCTTCACATTTTACGTAATTCAGACACTCGATGTGTTGTTTAGGACAAAGATAATTTCCTCTCGAGCGGAATCTCAAGCTCATTGCATTTTTACGTGAAAAAATGGTTTTCATATTGAAAGATATAACATGTGTTTGCCAAACAAAAGCAATTTTTACCGTATAAAGTCCGATTTTGCCTCAGAGAAATCAAATGAGACAGGTATGAGAAATCGCATTGTCCTCAAAAAACTAGGGGTGGAATCTGTCTCAGAAATTCTGTTTCGCATATCTGTGGTTTTAGTGACATAAGACGCGGTAATAAAAATGCTTGGTAGCATTTCATTTTACCACACCGAGATATAGAAGCTTTAAACAAATATATATTAGGTAACCGCGACATGCCGTCACTTTTCTATGTCGCGTAGCGCGATGAAGATGTCAGTGCAGTTACTGTCGGGTGTCAATTCTGAGTGCGTACGGAAATTGACAGCCGAAAGGGCAGCCGCGTGAGTAGTTCATTAATATTTTCCTATTTTCAGAATTATTAATAATAGAACAATGCCTAGAATTATGCAAGGTGGACCAGAACGGTCCATAAGCGAGCAAGACGACGATTTTATTCGTTATACACTAAAAAGTGTACCATTATACGCCCTTCAAGGCTATTCACGGGGGGGGGAGGCATTTGTCAATGTTTTCCCTGCACATAATCAGAACATGCGGGAAACAGTTCGGCCCCCATCAGCCAAACCCCACGTCAGTAGCGAGTTGAAATAGTAAACTTATCCGAATGCGCTTTTTATTTGCTCAAGAATATATTGCTTACAGACTTTCATTATGTAAAAGCATTTTCTCTTATGATGAGGTCTTATTTTTAGTCAGACCTTCGAAGTCAGCCCCGGTACTTATATGTGGGAAGAACTTCTCACGAGAACACACTGTATAGCCAGCAATTTTCAAGGACTGTCAACGCCTGATGGTTTTTGGGCAGGCTACCGGAATATGAGGGGGGGGGATGATAAGAGTCAATGCCAAGGACGGGGGTGAGGGCGGAAGGTTGCGGAGAGCTGCACGTAGCTACAGTAGGTAGGCTAACTCATGAAATGTCAACCGATATTCCGAAATGCGTTTTCGTTTCAAAAAGATTAATTAAGTAGTTGTAAAACTAGTCAGCCTGCAACATAATTCTATGATATTTCAGTTACCTCAGGATGCCGACTTTCGAATGAACTTCCTTCTGGCTGCATGTAAAAACTACACTCAGTAAAAATGACTTATCACTTAGCATGCATTTTTCTCATTGATTTCCGATGCCCCTAAAAGTCCAATTATATTTCATGGAGAATATGCATAAAAACATTCATTTTTCTGCTTATTCGGTAGAAAATTATATCTTCTTCTAATTTTATACTCGAAGGAGGGACATAATTCGGTCTTTAAAAAGTTTCTAATTGTGGGACATTTAAATACCGTGAAATGACCGTTCATAAATAGTCATGTCTCTGCATTTACCAATGTGGCTTGTAAAATTAACAATATGGCTCAAATCCACTGCTAAATTTTATGAACCCTATATGGTCGTCCTTTATTACCGTAGAAGAATGCGTGGTTTTCCGTACGCGGAAAATATACGGCTTGTAGTTTGGAAACCCCGAATCCAAGAGTAACGGTAGAGCGGGTTCAAAATTACTCGGAAATTGGAAAAGTTTTTAAAAATCAATTATACCTTCCTTCGAGTATACGTTTGGAAGAAGACGTACTTTCCTACCGAATGAGTAAAAGAGTGAATATTTTATGCATGTTTTTCATGAAAAATAATTGGAATTTTAGAGGCATCGAAAATAAATAAGAAAAAGTCGTGCTATTTAAGTAGTCATTTTTACGAAGTGTATGCAGCCGTAAGGACGTTCATTCGAAAGCCGGCATCCTGATGTAAGTGAAATATTATAGAATTATTTTGCAGGCTAACTCGTGTTACAGCCCTACTTAAATAATTTTTTCGAAACGAAAACGCATTTCGGAATATCGGTTGACATTTCATGAGTTAGCCCACCTACTGTAGGCGACTTTTGACTGAAGTTAGCACGGAGCCTGAGTCAGGTTCTTCTGCGCCCACAAGACCGGCCTTTGTAACCGGATAGCAGCCGCTCTTTCTGTTGCTAACAAACACTAACCCAGTAGCTTAGATTAGCTCGAGGGGAACTTATAAATCACATTAAGTGCTTCGTTAGGGTTCAAACGATGCCCGTAATCAACATGTGCGAGAATGGCGTTGTTTATGCTTCTAGTATCAACTTTTCCCCGCCGTGCCGGGAGGTGTTCTCGTGTTCTCTGGGATATGCGCCAATAGGACCAGCTTCACAGGAACAAGTGAAGGAGTAAATTTACATTGAGGTGTTCTGAACTTTCAACCCATCCTTACCTTTTTTGTGTGAAACAGAGTTGGTCGTGGATAATGCCTGAATTCTTGCCGCTGGAGAGGCTCGGGAGATAACCTGGTTATGACGTCCTCTCTAAGCGCCCCCTTGAAAAGAGACTTTGCTAAACAGAGTTTTCTTATTCGGCAGTCAGTGTGGTGGGTTCTTCCGGTCACTCGGTGATATTCTTTGCAATAAACCTGTCAGGATACCCGTTTTTGCAAAGCAAGTCCTGGATCTTTCTAAGCTCCTCTTCGGTGCTGTCTGCCGATAATTTTTTCTAACCCTTTGCGCCAAACACCGGACTAAATTTCGTTTTTGTTGGAGGAGTATGAAATTGCCGAAGTTCGTGTACTGCCCAGACCAGCTTCTCTTCCGATAGAAGCTCCCTCGGACGCTACCGTCAGGTCTCCTGTTTAGGAGGACGTATAGGAATGTGAGCCACCCAGTCGTTTCCATCTCCAACGTGAACTTGATCGGCGGATGTGCCAGATAATTAAAAAATTGGTCGTTTTCTCTGCGCAGTAGTAACAATTGAAGCGATGAATTGGTAGTTGTAGAGTCACTGTATATGCCATTTAGAATCGCATAACGAAGCCTAAAAGTAAGCAAAGATGACGAATTTGGCATTTAATGAGCTGTTTAACTATTATGTGATATGTGTCCTATAGGACAACGCTTTCGTTGTTGTCAGTGTCAAAGTGGCGGACGGATAGAACGAGGTCGATCAAGATCCTAACCACAACAGTGAGGGTCACACGCTCATCTGACATATATATGTATATGAATGAGGAACAGGTGCTATCAAGCCTTGTTTGTTTGTTATTCTGGCTCTTCAAAAGGAGAATCTTTCATTGCCGAGGTTAGACTGGCATCACACGCCACAACAGTCCCTGGGAAAATCTAGGCGACTGTGTCCATTAGTCTAGTTGTTATTTATCCGACACTTCCGTAGTTGGCGGGTGGCGTAACGTCCTTCAGCGAAGGTTAGCCGGGTCCGGGATAAAATCAGTCCTGAATCGGCAGCGGCAGTGCTACCAGAACAGGTGGCACACTAACTACCTTTCAAAACAACCTAAAGTCCGAAAATGATACTGCGACAGGACGACCTTGAACGTTCAACAAACAGGCCGTCTTTCGGCTAGGTTCCGATGAGCCACCCCTAGACTACCGATCCGGGCAGGCTTTGAGGAGTTCTAAGGACGCCTCAGTAAACATGGGGGCGGCTAGGCCAGGCAAGGTCAAAGCTTAAATAAAAGTACAGGCTACCCTGATTCCCCCTCAATGTGGAGTTTGCATGGTCTAGCAGCGTACCACGCCGGCCAACGTCCCTTGACTGGTGCGAAATATTGCCTACTTTTGAATTTATAGGTCATCAAACACATCACTTTCGAGATCAGCTTTTCATCTCACCCTAGACTGAGAATGGGCACCTTGTGCAGACAGCAAAAAGCGTGGATATTGACTACTTCCTTGTCTTCTATTCTTGAGAACTCCGAGTTACCATTTGTTTTGCAGTGCAAACAGGCAGCACCACCGACGAACATATCGATCGTGAATGTGGTCCTAGCATGAGACAGCATGAGTCAGCTGGCGTGGAGTGACCCTATGTGCAAGTTGCTTCCTGCTTAATCTGTTATTTTTTGGGTGCCTTTTTCGGTTTTGCAGGTTTTGACGCGAAACATGGCGTTCCCGGCAGCAGGTCAGACTGAGACTCAGGGAAGCGAAGCCTATTAAATGTTAGATAGTAGCGGGGGTGGCAGCTCTTGCAAGTGCGGATGCTTCTTCATGGACAGTAGCAGTGTGCTTTTCAGGCCTGTGTGAACACGTCAGTCAGGTTGTCCAT